ACAGTGCAGACATTAGACAGCTAAAAGCTTATAAAAATTACTCAATGTTTCTAAACAGACCCAATTCAATATCGCTAAAAAAAAATAACAGACAAGATTTTGGGTGTATAAGCTGTTTTCTTAAAGGCATTTAAAAAGATATCACCACTCCTTACAAACTCCGCATCCCCAGCATCTTTATCAGTATTTTTGTATCACAGCTGCAAGGATTTACCATGTAATACATGATGCATGAAACTGAGAAACATGATTCAGGCTGCCATATGCAGAGAAGTTGCTTATGCAGTCCTGGGCTGAATGGAGGCAGGAAAAGTTGGAGAGAAAATTCATAGAACAGGTAGCCTCATCAGGTGGTTTAAAAGACTAAGAAAGGCTAACTAAGAAGTTAATCTTTTTCACGCTAATAAATCCTATTTGTAATCAATGAAAAACATCTTGAACCTTCCCTGTTTACTGTCGAAAATGAGGGGAGCTTTTTTGTTCATCAAAGAGATTTCCATCAATTTTAACTCACAACACATTCTTAACCTACCCACCAAGTGTACTAATAGTCTTTATAAAAATGACTTCAGTCTTTCGGTACCTCTACAAATGACATACTCCCACTTCTACAAGGGAAAACTGGGCTCACAGAGGTTTACTGACCACAAGACACACTTCATTCTTGATATTAAAGACTGGCTCCATGGATCAGCTTGTTCAGCAATATGTATTACTATTGGTCTGAATGGGCAAGCACAGGCAAGATGAGGAATTTGAACCCATTTGAACCTCAGGTAAATCTAGTGGTTTTACTACACTGCCCTGTGAATCAGTAATTTTCAAGGTCCTGTCTTATGTTGACCACTAACGCTTTCCAAGTCTCCATTATCTGCCAGACACTTCTCCATGCCTCAAAACATTTAAATTGAGAGAGTTCTAATGTGTTATGTTATAATTGACTATTTCACACTATTGTTTCCACTATTCATTGGAAGTTTGAAGGAAGTTATTTTTTATGTCCTTTGAAGCTGTTATTTTAAGCCAAGTTGACAGTGTTCATAATATTTCAAACACGCTGACAGATTGTTCTGCTAATGTGCACTGTAAACGCACATGTACATGAACCTTAAAGAAAAAACATGCACTGAGAAAATAACGTACATGAGAAAGTAACACAGATTTATGACAAAATGAAAAAATCCTCTGAGGCAGGTGATTATAATGGATCATGATCATGCTGAGGAAGTTTGGAGAAAGGCAAGGCTGAGCCAGAATGCATTTGGCTAACTTCAGCATTAGCAAGTTACCAATGTCAGTGTCATGAAGACAAAAAAAGTCTTCCTCCAAAAGTTCCAAAAGTGCTCTTACTCTCACTACATACAGCTGGGAGATTTGGAAGAGCACCAAAAAAACAGTAGAAGTAGGAAACTGAATGAAACATTCATGGTGTGCATTACTAGTCAGAACTAAAGACAGGAATTGATCACAACCAAAATCACTCCCTAGGCACAACAACATAATTTAAAAAAGCAGATACTGAGGTGGCTCTCCTCGGCTTGGCAAAAACAACTAACCCATCACGCTAACTTACAACAAACAGCTACTTTGGCTTCAGCAAAGATTATAAAGCATGGGATAGAAAAGATTAAAAAAAAATTTTCTAAGAATTATTTAATCAGACCATTCTGGACCAAGTTCTACACCACTGAGCAGCAAATACAAGTGACAGCAGTGATGGGGATGCCACCACACAACAGGTTGATTTTTGTTTGTCCTTTGACGGCTACATCAGTAGGATTCCTGTAGTTAGGTATAAAGTTAGCAAGTCATGTGTGGAGCAGAGCATAATAAACCTATAACCATCAGTCAGAAACTATGGCCACAGTGGCAAGGAAGATTTCTGGGAGCTTCGTCAGGGAGCTTCTGCCACCTTGTACAGTGGTACAGCCTCTGTGAACCCCGAGAGGAAGAGTGGTTTCCTACCAGCAAGCAGCAGTGTGTCTGTCTCTAATGAGTGCCCCTTTTGCTCTAGGAAAGGGCATTATCGGACTCTCTTTCCTATCGGGGTATCCACTTCTGCTGTTTTCATGACCCTTCTCCAGTGGGAAAGCAGCGGCTTTACATTTTCACTGAAGCAAGAGAAATTTCCCTCTCTCTGAAGTGGGCTCTGTGTTTGACAGGAGTTTTAATTCAAAAATAAATGTGTCTAGAAACCTTCACAGACACCAGGATAAGAGACACTATGGACAGTACGTAGTGTGATCCGTAATAGCTGGCAGGAATACCTTCCTGGATTTAGTTTGTGCTGTTACTGTCAAATGCAGGAATAGTGGCATAGTTATCCAACAGCAGGACTGAAATGTTATTTATGTTTTTGATTAACTGCAAAACTGAATTCAGACAGACAAAACAGGTCTTTATCAGATCAGCTCTGTCATGACAGTACGGTCAACTACGTCACAGTTAACTTTAAACATCTTCCTGAATCTGTCTTTCTGCCTGCTACATAGATGCCAATACATAGTCTAAAATAATGACGTCATAATCATTCTTAACTGATCAAGTATAAGAAATTATAGCAACTATTTTCTGCTTTCAAACACTAGTGATTTTTGCTATAGACTCAATAGAACCTTCTTAAGTTAAAGATAAATGCTGTCTTAATTTTGACGAAACAGAGCTGTATTGTAGTACAGCAAAATCTGTGTATATAGCTCTACACTTTTTTCAATAAAGTCAAATGATATTTGCTAGATAGGAATTAAAAAATTTCTTCTTAAAAAATCAGAAATTAGTATTTCCACTGTCTATATCTTCAAGCAGCTTAACCCTCATGTCTTGGTTCTCCAGAGCTTTACCCATTTTCCTGTGTCACCTACAGTTCGCACTGCCAAAACCGCACCACTTTGTCATGACTTAACATTTTCTTGTTCACCTTTGCAAGTATCTCTGCATCCTGTTGGCCAGTAAATGCTTTCATCACTCCAGTGCAAGAGTCAATCTCATTCTCCTCTTTCTAAATCCTACTTTGAACATACGCCCCTTTTAATTTTTTTTTTCTTATCCCTCTCCCACCCCCCAAACATAAGATAAAGGCTTTTTTAAATTATTTCATCAAGATGTCTTTGAAATACTTTATTTTAACTATACATAGAGATTTCCAGAGGGTATCGGTAGTTTTAGGTAAGAATACCACTAAAAACAACAATTTACACTGATCCTTTACAGAAGTCTTGCACTTTTCTTAATGAGACCAACAAAAGCAAAGACAAAAAATCTTTAGGATTTAAAAAATACAAATCCAAGTATACTACCAACTTAATTTCCACTAGGAAATCACTTCAGTCTTACATTGTTATACAGTGGTCACCAGTTGGAAATGGCACAAAATGCACAGGATATATCTTTAAATTATTCATAATCACCTTAAACTGCATTCAATCAGCATCACAGTATGACACCTTATAGACATACAAAAGTTCAAAAGGAAAAGCACATGAAAAAGCAGACTACCTAGAGTACTATTGTTAAAACTACACCAGAAAGCTTAATATTTCAATACTGTATATATTAAAATAAACAACATACACAGGTGATGAAAGCCAGTCTCTGAAAAATTTATTACTCTGTTAGAACAAGTTTACACTTAGGATGAATTCTCAAGCTTCATGCCATTAGGAAGTTTTACTGGGTTTATAGTGGAAACAAAAACAGAAATAAAAATAGATGACAACCCCAAAATACAGGCTGTACTTTGAATATGATCAACGGGCCTTCTCTTCCTTTTAAATCTATATGTTTCCTCTTGCCTCCAGTAATCAAATTTTATTCAATCTTCATGAAAAGTTCCTTAAATTTTTCTTTTATAATAAAATGTTTTTGAAGATGAAATCGAATAGACTAACATAATTTGTATTAGTTCAGTATTATTTCCCCAAAGCCATCCTATTGGAATTGTACAGCTTTCAAAGATTTATGATGTCAGTTTGATTCAAAGGATCCTGTCCCCCAGCCCACCCCCCGTTTCCTCTGTAATCTTACTTTGGTTTCCAAAAAAATTGACCTTAATCTCATTTTCTCCTCCTGTGCATATCACAAGTACTTACCTCATGGAAATGAAAAGGACTGGGCATCAATTCTTTGGGTAAGATGGGCATAAAGGAGATATGGATGATTATTAAGATAATTAATTTTAAAAGCAGTAAAGATTTGCCTGGTGAATTTGCACTCGATATTCAACACTTGGAACTGGACTGGTTTGTAAACTATACTACACAAAGCAACAGGGAGCATTGATTGCTCTAAACTTCAAATTATAGAGCAGTAGCAAGAACTGTGTATATTTTTTGTCAGTTAGATTCATAACCACTGGAAATTCAATTTTAAGTTTAATTTGAACAGAAGAAATTACAGAGTATATTTCCTAATCTTAAAGAATCTGAAATAGTTCCCATTCTGACTCTTTCTGACTACACTGCATTTACATAAATCATTCAAATTTTCCTCGGTGTTAATTTTTACACATCTGATAATCTAACAACATCTGGCATTTCATGTGCAGCATTACCCTTATCTCATCTGCTTGGATGCTATCCGCCTCTGACTGTTATCTGGATGAATAACTGATTTCAGTAAGAAGTTTTATGAGTTACTGCTTAATGTATTCAGTATCTCAAATAAAATACACAACTATACATTTTAATTACATGAGAACCAACAAGAAATTGCAGCTTTTTCCACAAGCATCGAATCTGAAATGAATAATCTAAATATAGGTTTGTGGTCAACATATTTTTTAATAGACTACCAAGAGTTTCCTCAGTGTTTTGAATTGAATAGCAGCACACTGAATGATCAGAGAGGCAGAAGAAATATTAACTTTTGCCTACGAGTTATTTGGGGCAGTGGGAAGTAGAATACAATATTAAGTATAAAAGTACCAAAATTGATTTTATCAGCTTCAACATTCAGCTCTTGAAATATTAGACGCACATATTGTTATCAAATACTTGACTTACGCTCATATTCCTATCCCAGATTTGGATGGAGCCATCTTGACAGCCAGCTGCAATAAGTTTACCATCTCTGCTGTACGTGCAAGTTGTAGGAATCACCCTTTTTCCTTGAACTGATCGTGGTTTAAATACACTTTTGTGCTTTTTTTCATTGTTAACATCCCATGTCCTCACAGTTCTGGAAAAAGGTTTAAATAAAGACTTGTTTAATAAAGTTAATACATATGAAATAATATAATTTTTATGATATAATCAAACACCTTTTTCCAGCATAAATGGCATATAACATTGTACAAATAAAGCTGTAATGGCAAAACAGCATTTAAGATATGGTGGGGCAGTTATGAAACTAACATTACACCTTTTCAAATAAGAAACATCATATTTACTAACATCCACCTGAAAGTTAAAAATAACACCAAACCCCCCCCCCCAAACCAAAACCAAAACCACAAACCAAAACAAAGAAACAAACAAAACCCAAACAAACAAAACCCCCAAAAAACAGTTCTTCCCAAATGCTTGTGTAATTACATAACATTATTTACAACTGGGCAAACGACCAAAGGTTAATATGCAGGTACCACATAGTCTCCACTGTCACTGGAAGTCAGGAAGATGAAAATACTCAGTCCTTTGTAAGAATGAAGACTTCAGGAAACAGGTATGAATGCTCATACAAATTCATTAACTAAACAGATTGTCTGAATTGTTCTGACATGACAACAACTGACAAACCTGCTTTTAACTGGCAGCATTGCAGACTGGCTGGTTATTCTTCAGATTTGTCTTTATTTTAAAAAGGCATTTTAAACAATTAATTGCAGTATTATTGTAGTTGTTTTCCACTAGTCCTGAAGGTCTTAAAGTTCTGTTGTAAAACTGCCCTTCAAATACTTTACAAAGATTCATTTATATAATACTGTTTTTTTCAAGTTGAGTTTTTCCCATGATTAGCAAAATAAATACAACCTTTTTCTTTTTAATGGAATAAGAATATCTACCTAGATCTTCAATTTTTCTTAGATATACAAAAAACATCCAAATGAGAGAGAACTAAAACACTAAGAAACAGGTGGACTCCTTAAACTGTCTTAGGTACAAATGTTTTCTGTCCATTTAATATGTTGAGTACTTTCCAGATAAAAATTCAAAACTCTTCTGGCATCTAAAGCAGAGAAGTGTTTCAGGATTTGGCAAAGGAAGGAAGATCATTAATTTAGAAAGAAAGAAAAAAAATTCACTAAATTCTCAAGACAACTTCATTTGTTTAGACTATACAAACATTGCCTATGATCCAACAGCACGTAATTCACTGGTCTCTAGCAAAGCAAATACCACTTTAACAAAGGTTTCCATTTCTCCAGAACAAGACAAGACACCATGGCTTAACATTAGGAACTTCCATCAGAGCTACAAGACCAGACAGGCTGCAGAGCTGACACATATAATTCTAGGATAAAAACAGACAAGAAAATGAGCTGGAAATAGCTCACAGAAGTTATATTTAATCGCACATTTAATGAAAGTAATGAGAAATCAGTAACTGGAGCAGAATGAATCTTCAGTTGTCCAGAACAAAGTCAAGATGAGTCTCATTTTTAAAAGTCTTCAAATATTGTATCTGTAAAGCATCACTTCATTGCTCTATTTGGATGGCTAGCATAAGACATTCAAATGCTCTGATGGTTGGTTTAGTTTTCAGTTGGTTTTTTGTTTGTTTTTTTTCCCATTTTAAATGAAACTTTAGATTATGATGTATTTTCTAGGGTCAATTAAACAAATGCACGTTGCTATATGGAACAGGTTGCCCACCAAGGTTACGGAGTCGCTTTTCTTGGACTTACTGAAAACCCGTCTGGACATGTCCATGCGTTAGGTGCCTAGGTGATCCGTTCTTGAACAGCATGGTTGGATTAGAGGGTCTACAGAGGTTGCTTCCATCCTCAACCAATATGTGACTCTAAGATTCCCCTTTTCCTCTCCATGTGTTTCAATAACCATCTCAGTCTCCTACCTTTCAACAGATACATTGGCACTTTCTCCTATTCTGATATTTACTCAAAACTTGAGTCTTTTTCCAGTCCCTTTCCCTCATAATATTCAATCATGCCAGAACCTTGTTTGAATATCCTGTACCTCCAGTTTCTCTTCCTCCTCTTGTGATGACCATCTCCTGCCGGAAAGCTAATTCCTCTCTCATAATGCAAGTTTCCCAGGACTCCCTTGGCATACTCACTTCTCAGATAGTGTACCTAGTAACATGCTTATGTGCAGGAAAGTTTAAAGCCTGCCTCCCTGTATCTGTCTTTTCATCTAAGATGTCTCACAAGCACCTAATCTGTAATTCCAAACCCAAGCTCTAAGAATCCTTCACCATCCTAATTCTTCATTTCTGCTGACACAGAAAGACTTTTGTAAAGCCTTCAGTTTCCTCTTTTTAGGGCTTAATGTCCTCTCAGAACCTCAATTGCTTCACAACACTATAGAGCTTATTCAAGCTTTCTTAGTCATTTTACCTTTCAACTGTAAAGAAAGAAGTAACACTTGTATAGTTCTATCTCTTATAACACATAAAAAAAAAAGTGAGCCTTAAATCAACTGTAGTATCAGCAGGTCAGACAAAAAATCCAGGTTTCCTGAGCTGCTGCTTCTGCTGCACACAGTTGGCCACACTCCCTCACATATCAGTTAAGTGCCCTGTTAAAAATGCCCACATACTCCATAGCACATGCTTAACGTCCCCTCAACGTTTTCTTAATGTCCCCACACTAAACATATGCTTACTGTTGCCTTGCTGCTATTAGATCTAACTATAAAACTCTTCTACTGAAAGAGATATTTTACAAGAAATGATCTATATATTACCTACAAATTGATCAATCATTCCCAAAGAGTTCTTTAGTCTTGAGCTAAGACTGAGCTTTTTAATCTCTTCTTTCACGTCAGATCTTTTAAGTATTCTTATTCTTTATGGAAACACTTAAAATTTTTATTAAAAAATGGACATCATATTGCAAACACATCTCATAACACCATGGACAAAATTGCACCTTACCACGTGAATCAAGCAGCCCACAGTTCCTGAATGAATCACCACCAACCAAAACATTAGGAGTTATCTATAAACTACATCTGTTTTATATTTTCCTTCAGACCAGTGATGGACTAAAAACATCAGGATTGCTGAAGGACCTCAGAGAGATGCTTTCTGTATCCTATTTTAAAGGCCTTTATCACACAGTCTGAGTATGACAGACTAATTTGTTCTAACATTCCTCTTTCATCCCCAATGCTCCATCAATAACTATCTGAGCATCTTGATTCTTCTTTCAGCAGGCACTTTGACACTTTCCCTATCTACTGTTTACACTTGAAATTTACTTGAAGAATTTTTCCAGTCCCTTTCCCTCACCTAATACTTCTTAATATTTAACTCCTCCCATTCTAGCCAGAAGGGGATAAACACGAAAGGAAGCACAGAAATCCAAACAATTTACCATCAAGGCTTATGTCTTTAAACTGGCAATATGGCAAACAAACGCTAACTAAGGCTGTTTCTGTATTCCCTCTCCCCTTCTGTTATTGACCCTCAGCCACCATGCCATATCACAGTCAACTCAGAGAGCACAATTTGGAATTATGCCTCTGGTTTTCTTCCGAATATTTCGTACCATTCAATGATTCTTCCTCCTCCACAGGCATAATGAAAAAATAACCAAGATTGCGTTACAGAAGTCCAGTTTTCACTTCCTAATCTACTCTGGGTTCAATCTAATGTTGCTTGTGTTGAATAAAGAAAAATGTTACTCCTGGATCAACCAGATCATTTCCAGAAGACTCATTTTGGTCAAAAAAGCCTCTTACTAAGAGTATCTCCATAGGCCTAATTAAGTGTGGGATAAAAAGTAATATTGTTTTAAGCTCTATGTTGCAGCATTTAGCAGAAGTATAGAACTAATGTTTATCTGTTGACAGGTATAACCAGATACTTTTGAACTCCACTGAAAACAAACAGAAAATATTTCCTGAACTAGGCTTTTTTCCACCTGAAAACAAACTATGTTTAATGAAAGTTTGTTCTTTAGTAAAAGCAACATATAGGGATTTTTTTTAAACTATCCCTCCAATACACAATGTCGTTCTTTCATCACATCACATTTTAATATACTGACTGATACGCACAGTCACGTAAATATTTTTAATTTCTCTTTCATAAATTTCTTTTCAAAGAAAACTTCCATGAAAAAGGCTCCACATACACAAGTTTAAATTTAACTTTTTAAATGGTGGATTCCACATCTGCAAAACACATTTTGTAAAGTACTTATATTTGCCAAGACCAATTTTAACCAACTTAGAAAAGGATTGGAATGTTGTTTTGGAAAGGTAGTGTGGATATTTTCCTGACCACTGAGAAGTCCCATTACTGAAGACCCATTTTCACTTCCTAATCTACTCTGGGTCCAATTTAATGTTGTTTGTATTGTGTTGTGTTAAATGAAACATAATAAACAACTAATTTAATTACTGGGGTTTCGGGGGGATTTCCCCTCAGCCCCCCCAAATGTTTTTTTCTTTTTTCCCTCTTTTTTCTAGTGTCCTTATGATGTTATTACTAAGCCAAAATTTCTAATAAAATTATTGACAATGCTGCTGTATTACACAAATTGTTAAAGGTATTTATGTAGCTGCATTTCCCAGTCTGCAAGTACAGAAAATTTCTTAAGTCCTGATTCAGCCAGCCACTGCCCATTCTAATACTATTCTAATACAATCTGCTGAAATTCAAGGAGTGAACCAATTCAAACATTAAAAGCCTGACCTGCCAAGTTCCACTAAGCTTCTCTGCCTGTCCCATATCCTCTGTTTCTATCAGACTGCAAAACTCTCTTGCACAATATTGAATGTTATTGGTATTTAACACAGTAGAAATACATTAAGTCTGTTCTTAATGATTAAGTCTATTCTTATCACACTTGAAATACAAAAAAAGCAACAAAATACACTACTGCTTCAAGTACAGATCAGGCTTAATGTTGTACATCTAGTAACCGTATTATAATCCTTATCTTTGTAATATATTACAATGCCTACCTTTGTAATATAAGATTACCCAAGAAGACTATCCTGGAAAGCTATAACATACTGTAAAATCATCATACAAACATCACTGCAATGGAATTTATTGGCAGAGCACTGAATTCCAAGTCATCTTATCAGTGATAGAAAACACATTTTAAAAAGTGTTTAATTAAGCCTTTTTATATAAAAGTAACTGACCTTAAAGCAAGATTTTTTTCATCTTTTTTATGAGATATAACAACTTTACCTACATAGGAATGAAATTAAGATGCTTATATAACATGGTGAAAAAATCACCTACAGCAGAGTATGTAAAGAGAATAGATAAGAAATAGCTGAAAAGTTCTGTTAAGATGCATTTCATGCATATGGTGGTACAAGACTATGTCAGCAAGAAAACTTTCATCACTGTATTCCCTTTGCCCTCTTTCAGCAGAAGTAAGTTATAATCTTCTTCTGTTGAGCACATGGGACACAAGGAAGGTTGAATCAACTGTCAGATATTGAAAAAATTTGTGCACACAAACAGATGGAGAAAGCCAGAGAAACTTTTTGTACTTGCTTGGCAGAAAAACTTCTGAATAAGCTACCTACTCCCAGCATCGGAATAGAGTTAAAATAATTTAAATCAGAATACAAGCAAAGTCACATCCAACATAAGTAAAATCATAACTGTGGAAGGAACTTCCAAAAAATTGACACAACTTAGTAATTTGTAACAATTCTTCAGCTTCTCTGTAACTTAAATAATCCTTAAATGTAAAAAAAAAAACAGAAACTTGAACAGATAAAACATTTTATGAGACTAAAAAATGAAAAAAAACATCAAAATTCATTTTTACATGACATGCTGCAAACAGATTGAAGTAACTATGAAACGATATTTTTCCATATTTTCAAATAAAATTGGTAGCCCTTTTTTGATAGAAGAAATTACCACCATTTGGGTAATTACAGATGAATTATAATTACTGGGGGGATAGAGATTAAAATCTAATAACAATTAATGAGAACTACTCCCATTATCCAGTCCGAATGAATTAAAAAGCAAGTAACTCAAAACTGAAATGACACATAAGCATGTCTGAGAAAGCATGGAGAGTAGACATCCTGAATTACTAAGCAAAAATCCTGATGCTGGCCAATATATGCAAGATTTGAGGAAAACTAAATTAGAAAAGGAGACAGAGAAGAACTGACTATAAATACTAACTAGGCTAAGGAAAAAGAACTCCTAATGGAGGACAAAGAGAAGAGAAGAGATGGAAACAGATAGGCTGGGTAAGGAGAATAAAAGCAAGAAACAGACTGTAACAGTGATAATGCCATACCAGATCTGGTATGACTGCTTTCAAGTCAGCTGTGCAGCATGTTCACAAGAGGAAAACAGCAGCAGCAGCAGCAAACACTAGCAAGTTATGACAGACAATCAATTGCAGCTGAGGAACTGGCCAACAGATGCATTCAGATCCAAAGAGCTACCCACCAATACATCTATATAATGCCTTTCAGGTTATAATGAACACACAGTTGTAAAGACATAGTAGAATACTTGACAACAGAACCTCTTAATTACAGCATTAGAAGTCTGTTTTTATTGAAATGCAGAGCTCACAAGCTTTCCAAACTGAGTAATTTTTGTACTTTCCCAGATTAAACCACTGGTCAGGCTACCAATAAAAAAGGCATTCTTCAAAAGGGTAAAAATTTAAGAGCAGCAACCAACTTCCTAGAAATAAGATAGTAATTTCCAAGAGTGATAGAGAAAAAGGCCTTTTTAGACTAAGAAAATGGTTTTCAAATTAAAGGCATATACTGTACTGA